TTTAATTTTTTTGTTATGTATTTGGTTACTATTTGAGTGTAGATTTGTAAAAGTAATATAGAGTTTCGAGTTATGTGTTTAGTTATGAGTTTTAAAAATAATTTTTGAATTGAGTTTTGAGTTATGTGTTTGGTTACAATTTGAGTATGAAGTTGTGTTTTGAGTTTAAAATATTAAAATTAAAAAAATTAAAATATTTACAAAATAATTTTAAAATATTTAAATAAAAATTATATATTTAAAATAAAAAAATAATTTTTTTAAAACATTTTTAATATTTTTAAAAAATAAATCCAAAAATACTATTCCATACACTGTTTGTTTCTTTCAAACCTATTCTCTAATCCAAAAATATTTTTTAATATTTAAAAATGAAGGACAATAAGGTAATTTACTATAGAAAAAGTAACACCGTTTGGAACAATTTGACATAAGGGAAATTCTTGACATTGTCAGGTAAAGCAGGAGAGATTACTGTAATTCTTCAAACCACAAGAGAGATCACTGTATTTGTCAGAAACCTCATGAGAGATAAATATAATTTACCCATTAAAATATTATCCATAATGTACGGGGGCGAAATATCCTCTATTTTCCGTACTCCTTGTACTCCAAGCTTCTCTTAACAGCGTCTACCTGGCAACACAGAAACGGTGAGTTGCCCGGCAGTGGTGTGCCGGATAGACCCTCCGACGATCAAGTCAGTCTACTTGAGGAAGAAGAAGACTGTTAGAGAAAGAGTATTCTCTTTGGGGAAGAAGTTGCATACCTCAAACGTTCACCTTCCCCCACTATTTCTAGGCTGGCCATGCAGCCCCAAGATCGTGTGCGCACCACCTCTATTGTCCTTCCCTGGACAGGTGGCAGTGCTTGCCTTCCACCACCTTACGCATGTAAAGATTTCGTCCTCCAACCAGTACATACGAAACTGCCAAACGGTATTGGTGCGTGCATGGAGCAGATGTCCTCTTCCTCATGCCATTGGCCCAGGTGGCACACTTAACCGGAGTGCCACGACCAGCTAGTTCCTTGTGGAGAATTGCCTTCTCGAACACATAACCGAGCTAATGAACGCCGACCTACTCCTTGGCAAAGGGGCCAAAGTGTTATGCTCATGGCCGGGCTATTTATGATCGGTCCCACCTGACTGAACGGCCATGAAGCACGCTGGACTTCCACCGTTCTTCATTATTGATCACATGAAGCCCGTCCATCTCGGCCGATCGGTTCGGCGCATGCCGACGCTAATCGCATCTCAAATCCAGTCCAGGCTGCTCTTAACTTGGTCATCAGACACTGCTGCGCGCTCGGCCGCATCATAGCTCGGCCAGGCATTGGTTCGTGTCTAGCCGGTCGACCTCTCCGGCCGTGCAAGTCAGGCCGCTGGGCCGAGCAAAAGAGGAGTCTGCTCGGCGGTGTGCGGTTCGTCATGATCGGCGTTATCGTAGCTCGGTCGTACTAACGCGCAAATCTCCCCTCTCACATAATATTATCAATTTTCCCTTATTTATTTCTTTTTCTTACCTTGCCTATTTTAACTCTCATAAATAAATAGGACTAACGCTCGGGCCTCGATTTTTATTTTATTTTTTTTGGGAATGGTGGTTATGTGTAAGGTGTATCAAAAAAATTAGATATCTCGTACCAACTTAGCCTATATGGTTTGATAAGGTGAGTGAGTTAGGTTAGATAAGTTTGGTGATAAAATTGACTGATCAATTATGCTGCTAGTTAAAATTTGTTAATTTCATATAGTTTTGTACGAATCCCTACTATATTTTTATTTCAAATCAAGAAGACTCGGAAGAAATTGAAATGATTTTGGTATTATTTCAAATCAACCATTTTTTTTTTATGTATATACAATACCAACGTCATTTCAATTTTCTTCGAGTCTTCCTGATTTGAAATAAAAATATAACAGGAACTCGTACAAAACTATAGAAAATTAACAAATTTTAACCAGTAGCCTAATTGATGAGTCAATTTTATCACCCAACCAGTCCAACCCAACTCGCTCACTTTATTAAACCACACAGGTTGGGGTTGTTTGGGATGACCTAAATAAGTGTACTTTTTATCTTTTTATAAAAAGATGTGCAGAAAAGTAGAGAGGTGATGTGATGGAAAAAATATAAAAAGATGAATTATTTTAGAGTTGCCAAATTAGTGTAGGATGTCTAGTTTTTTAGCATACCCTTACATATAACCACCATTCCACAAAAAATGAAAAGAATAAAAAAAATAAACGACGCATTCGTGCCTCGATTTATCGAGGCCCCTAGCACTGCTCAATAAATAATAAACCTTTGTTGGAGATATGGGTTGACTTTTCGACCATTTTAGCCTGAGGCTAAAAAGCCTCGCTTGAAATGAGTTTTTTGACTTTTTTGACTTTTATGAGAGAAAAAAATAAAATAATCATGATTTGGATGTGACATTTTATTTTATTAATTTTTTAGCCTATTTTGTCTTTTTGTGGCTATTTTAGCCCCAAAAGTTCATGTCAAACATAACCTAAATAAATTTGGTTTATCTCAAATTGTCATCCCAACTCGAGATAATATTTGACCTTGATAAGCCTATTTTAGGGCTGATTTCGGTAATATAAACTATTCACTTTTTAGGACTCGTTGGTGGAATATTCATGCAAAAAATTAAGATTATTGGACATCGATAAGATGAGTGTTGCTGAGATGAAGATACTAAAGTGGTTGTGTGGTAAAATTAGAAAAGATAAAGTTAGGATAAGTATAATCATGAATTGGTAGGAGTAGTACTGATAGAAGATAAGTTGATAGAAAATAAATTGAAATGCTTTTGTCATATACAATGGAGGCCAACGGAAGCAATAGTGAAGAGATGTGACACAGTAACGATAGAGGAAAGTGTTAAGAGAAAGGACATACCTACATTGACGTGGACTAGTGTAGTAAATAGATATATACTTTCCTTAATTTGACTAACCAATTTGCCTTTGATAAAGTCAAGTATAAAAGAATGATTCATGTAACTGATTCAATTTGATGAGATTTAAGGTTTGGTAATTATATGTTTAAATCATATTTGTTATAAGAAAATGAACACCAAATATAATTTTCAAAAATTACCATTTTTGCTTGGTTCCATTTTTCCAAAAACACTTTTCAGAAAATTCTACTTTCTTGTTTTCTGTGTTTTTTTTTTTAATGAATTTTTTTAATATTTTAAGCAATTTTTTTTAAAACTTTTTAGACATACCTAACATAAATATACCTAAAAAGTAAAAAATTTGTGAAAAAAAACTTTTAAAAATTCACTAAATACAAAAAATACACAACAAAAAAATGAGAATTCAGTACATTTTTTGTATTTTTATGTATTTATTAATTTTTTAAAATATTTTTTCACAATTTTTTTACTTTTTAGATATATCTAAGTGATGTGCATTTAAAAAAAATTTTAAAAAAAATGTTTAAATTTTTTAAAAAATTCATTAAAAACAAAAAAATACAAAACCAAAAAACTCAATTTTTAAAAAACTTAATCCAAAAAAATCAGACCCAAAAACTCATTTTTCATAATATTTTAGGATAAATTACACTTACACCCCCTGAGGTTTGAATTTAATACATATCACTCCCTGACATTTGGAAAATTACACTAACCCCCATGTCATTGTAATTATTTAGACGGAATGAAAATATTA